ATGTGTCAGTGTAGTGGGGGGAGGAAGTTCAGCCGGTGGTGTGGGATGAGGTGGTGGCAGCAGGTAGGACGGGGGAGGTGCTGCTGTCGGAAACACTGGAGTTGGATGTATGGGTTGCGGTGGCACGTGACATGGTGGGACAAAAGTCCAAGTGGATGGTGTGCCGTAGGTCAGTGCAGTGGCGGTAGGGGTGGACAAAAACGGTGGTGGTTGAAATGGTTGTGGTTGTGGGTGAGGGTATGCCGATGGTTGTGTCGAGGGAAAGGTGGGTGCAGTTGGTGGTTGTGGCCATGTGGGTTGAGGTTGTGTGGTAGGTAGTGGTGGTGGCGTGGTGTGAGCGTAGGGCCACGGAAAATGCATGTCGTGGTCGTAGCTATGGCGCGGCGCGGCGCGGCAGCAAAAAGCAGCGGAGAAGTGCCGAGTTGTATTGTCTTGTTGTTGTTGAAGGTGTCATCTCTGGTGTAAGTGGTGAGTATGTTGTAAGGTGGTGCTAAATGTAAGCTTGTTGGTAGGTGTGTGTTCATGCATCTCGAATTAAGCTGAAGAGTTGTAATGCCCATCCTTGAGTTCTGTCGATGAAAGAATCGCGGCAGCAACATGGCGAACATAGAAACACGCACATGATTGGAAACCATGAAAAGAAAACGGAATGCTGAAATCTGAAATCAGAAGTTCGGAATCTGAAGGATTCTTCAAGAACCGTTTTTTGGCCCGGCGGCCGGTGTGGCGGTTGATTCTGTGAGGGTGTCGGTGCCTTCCTGTGAAGTTCCAGTGAGCGGTGGTGCGTTGGGGTGGTTGCTTTCCCATGCAAGAACGGCGCCCCTGTGACGGGGATCACACTCAGCACCCGAGTGGGACGGCTGAGCAGGACACACTTCGAACTTGGATTTTCAGTTAGCGCAATTGTCTCAATGGGAAAGAAGGCGATGGAACGGCAAGGTGGAAAGGTCAGCTGAAATGTACTGTTTAACACAGGTTTCACGACAAGCGCAAATGGAGGTGGCGGTCAGCAGCTGCTGTGCAGTGGGAAACCTGTTTGTGGGGAAAGTATCATGTGGAACCACCATGAATCAAAACGAGCGGATTAGACAGCTTGTACAAAAGTTTTCGCAGGTACACACGGGTGATCAATCCGTGCTTCCCACTCCAAGGCATAGCTTCGTTGCACTGAGTTTGCCAAGGAGTGCTCAGTGCCCCTGCCTGTGGAAAAGTGGTGGGGTAAGACCCTTTGTCCAGGGTGGGACACACACACACATCATATGCATAATATATTTTATATATACACATGCTTATACCGCAAAAAAGTTTGTACACACATACACACATACACAAGGTTGTACATGTCCGCCACGTCGCAGGAACCTAGCTTCTTGGACAAGTATAACCACACCATTGGCCTGGAGCCTGAGAATGCACCTGCTGCGCTACTTCCTTGCCCTCAGTACATTTGGACCACCTGACTCGAGAGTTCCCTTTTTTCTCAATCAGTGCTGCTCCAAACAGTTCTGTGAATCCAGTTGGCACAACCAGTATTGATTGGGTAGAGTGGTTGCTGCCCAACTATGTCCAATGCAATTTCACTTTCGACCTGCTGATGCTAACCAGATGGCAACCCCATGTTCAAAAACATGTTGCTTGACCATCCTCCAGTGCCGAGGCGATGTATGGAAAAACAAATCATCACTTTTCTGCCTCTTGGTTCTCAGTGTGGTTGGGCAGGGGTGCCGCACTCTGGGGAAGGGGTACGCAGCTGCGACCTTTGTCTAAAGCATTATTTGAACCAACATGTTGTGTATGTGCGTGTCCCTTTGTCGTTTGCTTTCTTTTTGTGGGGTTATTTGACTCATGTCATGCCTTCGGAGACCAATTGAATCCAATTGGATCCATCCAATTTTGAAGCAGCCTGCCGAGGCTCTGAAATTTCATGTAGTCTATAACCGAAGCAACCAAGCATCCTTTGGATTCCTTTGTTGGCTAGACCCGTTTGAGCTTCTTGCAACAAGAAGCCCGCTCCAGCTTCCTCAAGTCGTTGGTGTTGCGAAGTCTTGCTTCGAGTTTCTCCTTTTTTCTGGGCAGTGTTTCGTCCGACATTTCGTCCTCACCTTTTTTGTTCCTGTTTTGCCAGCATCTAGACGTCTTTTTGTTGCAGCTTCTGAAGCCTTGGCATGCGCTTGATGCAGCATTCCGTCTTCAGACACCTGCCAGCTGAGAGCGACATGCGGTACCCTCTGCAAATCTACGGCGGTTCAATGCTGCCCATGTTCCCGTTGACGATAAAGACTCCTCCTCTTTGGCTTACACTTCAAAGCAGGAAGGAACTTTTACTTCACAACAGGACATCCATGTGAAGACCATCTCCCCAAAGCATGCACAGGCAAAATGCCAGCTGTTTGGAAATGTTTGGCAGCGCTTGGAAGCTGTTAATTTGACCGTTTGACCATGAAAATTCTTTCGGGTGCATGAGTTCGAGGGATCAGGTCTTCTTGTACCCTGGCCTGGCAGATGTCAGAGTAGAGATACCGTTGTGAGATGTTGTGAGTCTTGAGAAAGTATACGTGTGGATGTTGAGGTGCAACCACAGCTACCTAAATCGGTCCTGGGTTCAGACTAGAATTCGAATTAGACCGTCACAGAACGTGCAGGGGTCCAATTTTGTGACCAAGGTTTCATGGTCGTGCAGCCAGGGATGGAGATGGAATTGGCAAAGTTTCAGCCGGGACCTTGCATGTGAGTGGAGCACCAAGCAGAGAAAGGCACGAATTGTATCGAATTGTGCATGCCGTCTATACCGTGAGAATTGGGGCTTCGAGGCTGCGTTGCTGTGTTTTCTTGTTTTTGTGTGAAGCCTGCCTGCCTAGGTTCAAAAAGAGGACGGGCATTTTTCAGTGTAACCACTGGGCCGTGTATTCCGACGGTCCACCCAAAGTGCCTTGGTGTATCAGTCAGATGGCCGAAAAGAACCAACGTTCCGAGCTGTTTGTGATTGACTCTTAGGGGCCGAACGGGGTCGCTTGCCCTAACATGTCAGCATTGCTTGAAAAATCACCTTGGCAAACTGGGAGATCACCTTGTGCCTATGTCATTTTTTCGCAAGTTTTGAGAAACCGGGTTGGGTTGAGGCATGCAACGAGCACACCCCACTGAGGCGATCGTGCTGGGCGTGCACCATGATGGTGACTTGGTGAGAAAAAGTGGAGACGGTGAACCAGCAGATCAGACACCAAGCGGATCCATCGCATCTCTTTTGAAAGGTCACGCATTGTCGTTGTCGTTGGTTGTCGTTGTCGTCGTGGTCGTGGTCATGTCTTTTTGTTAGATGGTTGCTTCAGAAGCTCACACATGTTACATCATGTTGCACCAGTTTTTGCCTTTTGGCCGTGGCGCCACGGCAATGTTCCTACAAGGAGGCGTCCAGCCCAAGTAGGCGGAAAATGCCGCTAGGATCCGCTAGGTCTAATAGCTGAAGCACCCCTCATGCGCAAAAACTAATATCTAGTCAGTCTAGATCTAGCTTAGCTTAGTGTTCTGTATATCGTGTGAGCATTTGGAGGTAAACAGGCTTCCGCATGAGCCTGCGGCTCGGCAAGGAACTGTGGAGAAGACAATCCCTATTCCAGGCCAGGTTTGTTCGGAAATTCAGCCTTCCACGGTGACTTCCCGCGTTGACACCGGTTGAGCCCACCCCCTCAGCCGGTTCAGCCGGTTCAGCACCCCAAAAGGGAATGACCATTGGTTGTAGTCAGTGGTCTCAATACCAAGCTTAAGTCAACTTGGGATAGGGGTAGGCAAATGGGAGAGAGTTTGACAAGTGGTTGTGGTTGCGGCATTTTTGTAGACAACTCTCTGAAAAGGCCGAAACCTTTTGCCCGCGCGCCGCATCTCGCGCAGGTCCTCCAGCGATGAAAGGCATGCAAACCTGCCTTGGTTGCGCATCACCAAAGCCTTACATCATGAACGCGACTTGGCAGACAAATTTCGGTCGCGACATGCAGGGGGATTTGCGTCTTCCGACATCGGTGCGACCCATGGCGAATGTCCATTCGCCCGCGCAAGCGGGCCCGGCAGGGCCCTGAACCGCGAACGAGAGACACTCAATTGTTTGATAGCATGATAGGTCTGAGAGGACATTGAAGGGCTCAGCAATGACATGGCATCATTTACTGCTATCGGAATTCCGAAAGCTACGGAGAACACGTCAACGATAAACAAAAAGAAGCAGACATCACTTCTACATGAATGTGTTCCAAAACAATTCAACTGATTGAAGTGTTTTGTCCGGGCAACTGTTTTGACCATCAAACTCATTACGCAGATATAGTATATTCAATTATATTCATGAATGCAGCAACACCCCGCATGACTAGACCAAAAGGCTCAAGGTTGGTGTTGGTTCTAAAATGTTGTCTTCTAATTGAATGTAATGATCTCTTGCCTTTTGCTCTGGCACAGTTGTCGCATAAACTGCATGATGCTTGAAGCACAGCAGCACGGCTTTTATCTGGAATTTTACTGCTGAGCAGGGTACGACCAAATCCAGACCCCTCTCACAGCCAGGCGAATGTGCTCATGCGGGCCTGGGACAAGGCAGCGAAAGATGGCATTGCAGGACACTTGAACTGCAACGAGCGGTCTGGAGTCTGGACCGGCCCGTGTTGCCTTCAATCTCAAAAAAGCCAAACCACTCTTTGATTCTGATTGAGATGGGGTTTTGCTTGGTTTGTTATGTTACCCCTTAGCTGCCAGAAGGTCGGCCACTTTGGACGCATTGCAACAAGTGAAAGGCAGAAGCGTCTGGATTTCCCTGCATCATCGACTTGAAGCACCGCAGCATCAGCGCCGCTCAAAGCGCCATTGCCTCATACTTCATGCTCCATCACTCAAGCCATCGAACGCAGAAACATGGTGGTAAGTAGCACCAATCACCAGGCAGAGGATGGTCACCGTAGTAATAGTAGGCCCTTGGAGCCCTTTTCATGGCCACAAGACTGAAGTTCTTGGCATGTCTTAGCGTTTTGTAGAGCCTTTCCAGTGTGCCACCTAGCGATTTGGTGCCTTAGCCGCTGGTTGCCGCTGCTGCCTGACGCAGTGTCGAGGAAGGTGCCACTGGCTTGATGAAAGCAACACCTTCCAAGTGGTGGTGTCATGTTAAGGCCATGAGCCAATACTGTCAGGGCTTTTTTTGTCAGGATACCATGATGAAAGGGAAGATGGGGAAGATCAAATCGGCCAAGATGGAGGCTGGCGCGCGTATGGCAGCCGCACATCGGAGCCGCATGGAAGACTTTGTCCTGCCGACCAGCGGCTCCTGCAAACCTTCGGAGGATGGTTCCCATTGCACCGGATGCTTTGAAATGGAGACCCGGACGGAACTGTTTTGGATGGAATTGTTTGTGTGCAATGCAAACCATTGACTGATAACCATTGCACAGTAGCTTTGAGTATTCGATGCTCCCATCGAATTTGCCCCGCATCCGCATGTGCATCTCACCATCTCACCTCACCTTGACACACACACACACACAGTGACATGTCAGACTGACATATCAGCAAGCAGGCAGAACAGCCACAAGGAGGGTTTCAGCATCAAATTGGGCCAAGGCGATGTGTCAACATCCCTACTGTGGAACCTGCGGCTTTTGCTCCAGCAGTGGTGTCTTTGATCGTGAGCGTGAGCTTCTCGATTATCAGTGCATGTGCGAGAGATGTGCCAAGGCCATGAACAGGTGGGACCAGTGTGGCCAGTGGGCTCAGTCGGGATCCAAACACCCAAGATCTTGATCAAAAAGAGCCTGCTCAGTGCTCAGCACTGAAAAAACTGCGGAGAGACGTGACTTTGGTCAACGTCCGCAGTCATGCCAGGTGCTGTGCTTGTGGGATTGCATTCGACGGGACGCCCATTGAGGCTGCTACATTCTAGAGTTGACGCTTGACCTTGTTCTTTTTAGTTTTGAGGCTCCTGAGGCGTAGTGTTAGTGCCAGTATATATATATATATTTATGCATTAACATGTCAATATGGTATATAGTCATATATATATATCCATCTAAACTCTTCATATACTGTGATTTCATGCTCCTCGTCATTGCTTTCCACAGGGCTTAAAGGTTGCAAATGCTGAGCACTCAGCGCGGCTATTCCATGTTGTGTTGATGGAAGACAAAGAAGTGTAGTTGCTTTGCGCAGGTGAGCTTGCCTCTAAACCATGGGCCTGGCAGTCGCTTTGGATATCATTCTTTTTGAAGCTGTGGGAGGGTAGAGCCAAGAGGTCCAGGAGTTTTTGTTCCTAATCCATTCTCTCAGCCTTGGCCTTGGGTCTGTCCTAGCAAACCTGTAGCAGTAAACAATTATCACTACTTTTGAACAAGGAATGCAACCTAATCATCATCATCAACTGTTTCTGGTAATAGGATAGGCCCAACCTTGGCCTTTGTCCTGGTCGGCAGTATCCAAGGTGGTGACGAGGCCTTCGACGACGTAGCGTTTCCAGACGAAGACACCACTTCTTGGTCTGAGCGTATGGATGCAGCTCTTGAGGTGGCAAGACAGTACAGTGGATTTTCAAAGTTTCATGAGACCTACCCGCCTCTCTTTAGCGAACTCTGGGATGCTTGGCTGGTTTCTTTTTCATATGTTTATTCTTTTTCGTGTTGGGCATGCCAATCGAAGAATGTAGGGACTTGCAGAAACTGATGGAAGAGGGGCAGCGCTTTTGTTGGACAATGCTCACTGAAGACACTGCAGAGCACTCGGAATGGCTCTAGGCTTTTCAATCCATGTGAACTTAGGGCATGCATGACATACATTGAGTCGTCCTCCCAGGGGTTGTTGAGCTTCAAATCAGCTGAGGACAGGTATGACCCAGGTCACACTGGCTACATCAAGGCATCAGAGGCGCCTGGGAGCCTCCTTGTGTTCCTACACCTTCCAACTGGTAATAATGAGGGCGCATGCGTTACCGTTTGTGCATGTTTCCATGGATTTGTGGACACTGCAATCATTGCCGCAAGTATGTGTATGTAGGTGCTACGTAGGTGCGGTAGGTTGGATCAGGCCGAAGCATTTGCCAACGACATGGTGGCTGCTGGATGGAAGGATTGGGCACCTTCTGCCCGTGATCGTCGATGCTTGGCTGTTGCACATACAAGCTGAGTGGGGCTGACTGACCAAGTTTGGTGTTCCAGTCACTGCTCATGGCTAGCCGGAATCATGCCCGAGCTGCTGAAGTAAGGGCTGTGGCGCCAAATTGAAGAAGAATGTGGTGAGATCAGCCTGGAGCAATTTGCAGAGATGAGTGAAAATGAAGCAGCCAAGCTCAATTTTGAGTCATGTTTTTTTTGCAGAGATTGTTGGCTGAAATTTGGTGAAGACGCGCTTGACGCTAAAAGTAGGAGCCAATGACATTGAGCTAGCGGTGCTTGCACTTGCAGTGGACATTCTTTGGTCGTTCCTAGGAGTTTGCAGTGTGATGGGACTGAGATGCATTGGCACGCAAATGAGATGCACTTCCAGTCACAGAGCTTTCTGGAGCCCAATAGAATGCCTTTAAAAGGCATTTAATTTGGACCAATTCCTTGAAGAATTTGAAGGCTTCATTGACGGCCGCCATTTTGATGGCCCCATCCAGTCATCCCGGTTTGTACAGTGGCCGCCCAATTGATTCAAGTGGCTGACAGCGTCCGTTCTGATGGATGCGCGGAAAGATGAAAGCTGGACATGTGGCGGGGCCTTATTCTACGACGTCAGGCATCATCGTCGCAAGCTCACCGTTGCTCAGCTAAGGACAGCATGCCTGGATCGTCAAGGCGGTTGGATCGTCCGTATGGGATTCTTTTGGGCAAATCCATTCGCGCAGGTGATTGCTTTGGCTTTCTTTCTTTGTGTGTTGAAGCTGGGTGATTGCAGGTGGATGCTGATTCAATGATGAGCCAGCGCCTTAGTGCCAGAAAGCCTTGCCTTGAGCCGAGCCATCAAGGATTTTTGTTTCCAACAATGATCATTCCCGACGCATCTCAAGATCAGAGAATCATATTGAAGTGGGTGAGCGGCTGAAGAATTGCTGACAAATGGTTCCTGACAGCCAGCGTCATGGGTTGTTCGAGAGCTTTCTTTTCCCGGGATAAACGATGCGACCTGAGCATCGTTTGACTCAAGGAGTTAGCAGATCACTTTGATTTGCCCAAGCTTCAGACATATTGCTCAAGTAACCCTTTGAACCTCTTGAAGCCTTTCTCACCCTCCGCCACCGACAAAATGTCTCCTTCTCATCAGTTGTATGGGTGTGGCCTCCACAGCCACGGCTGCATTGCATTCCGTGGTTTGCAGGTCCACAGCGGCTCGTTGAGCAGATCAAAGAGCACGGGAAATATGAATCTCGACTGATAGCGGTTGTGGCTGGAATGCAGTTCAAGTCATTTCAATAGGTTTAAACATATTTAAACATTTTTGAATCATGGCCAACAGAATGCCAACGTGCGCTTTTTTTTTCTGTCGCGCATGCTCGTTTCCTTTGCATTGCCGCCTTTTTCTCCAATGGCCACTCAGTGGATACGTTGGCCACATTCTGAAGTCGAATGTGGGCGGGGAGGTGTGAGATCTTTGGGAAGATGATGGCTACGAGCAACTTCCTATAGAAGATTCTAGCAGCACTTGCCCCTAGCTTGATCCCTCCGTATTGGCCCGAGTGACTCTGTCAGAGGACTCGACACGCTCTGGAAAACGGTGTCAACCTCACGGTCGAAGCTGTAGAGAGTTGGTCATGGCAGGCCTGGCAGGCCACAAAAACAACCGCATAACTCACATCACATGACCAATCCTTTCTCTGGACGGAACCCGGGCCGCAACCAGTGATATGCAAGCTGCTTTTGCCTGACCGCGTCATCACCGGTGCTTTCTCCAAGGATGTACCAGATCTGTGGCCAGGGAGGCGCCCAACACTGACCGTTGAGACCATGTGGGATGAAAGAAGACACGCTCTTGGTATTGTCACATTGTATATATATATATACACTTACAGATGTATATGTATATATAATATATATCCATATATAAAATATGTATGTACATATATGTACACCTACGTTATTTATTTAGTTTTTTATTTGTACACCTATATGTATATATATATATATACATATGTGTGCGTGTGCATAATGTGTGTATTTTATTCTATCGTTTCATCACATCTCACGCCAAGCAAAGTGCTACCTTGACCATCACCCTTATGTATCTCATCTTCAGATGTCGTTTCATCTTCCTTTTTCCGTCACTGTGCTACCCGGGTCAATTTTGGTGAGCGCCATTGTTTGCTAGACCTGCACCTGGTCAAGATCAAGCCCTGGTCACGCATCGGATATGACAATGACTTTCAGCCCTGCGGGTTCAAGGGCAACATGGGATTGCTGCTCCTAGCTGGGAGTTTGTGCTGTCCGGTCCAAATCATACTATGACCACTGAAAACAATTTGTTTCACATCCAGGTTGCTTTTTTTTTTGTATGTTGAACGATGTTGATAGTGTATGTGATCCCCGGCGCGATAGCTCTGGAGATCGTACAGAATACTTCAGACTTAAAGACCTGGGCCCTCCCTTGAGTAAGGACTCCCCTTGAGCTTGTGCAAGTTTTCTCCCTCGGGGAGTTTGTGAAACATCAAGCTGCTTCGGACTCTTTCGGACTCTGTCGCACTGCTCCCTACAGGTTCTTCAAGAACTGCCAGATCCTGAACTCAATGCAAGGCACGGACCGATCGAATACGACCCGAAAGTTTGTTGGAAGACCCAGCCGCCAATCGAGTTCTGGTGCCTCGCAAGGGCTATAAAATACAGTTCCGAATGGTCCTGGTATTCCTGTCGGTTCCACCAGTTGCCCAAACACTATCACGGACCGCATGTTGAATTGCTGGTGGCCTTTGGCAATTTGAAGGGCTTCATAGAGATTTCAGGATGGAGTCAGGGACACATTTGCCGCTCGAACTGCAGGTCCAGTGGAGATTCTTTCACGACAAGCCTTTTACAACTTTGTTGCAAACAAGTACAAATGCAGCTTGACAGAAGGTGATTGGCGGAAAAACCTGCCGGCTGGGTTGCGCCCATCCTGTCTTGTGTCCGATTACACATTGCACCAATCCCCAAGTTCAGCATTCCAGAAGCCGAAGATCCGAAGCCGGGACACAACGTAGACCCAGCGGGCTGCCACCGAATACTGAATACCTACTGCGGCAACCCAGCTTGGTGGAGGCTGAGAGGATACCAGTGACTTTTATCAATTTGATTGGTTATGAACTGGTCGAACAGCTGTTCACGAATGACATGACGCATGCATTGTGCCAGTTGCGAGTCCACAAAAGTAATAACCTAAACAGAACTAAGCATTTTTTTCTCATAATTAGCTCCCGGAAACCTACCAGAAACAATGGTCATGATGTCTTACGATGTTCGCAGCGCCGGCCGCGAACAAGGCAAACGCCTAGGTTTGCTTTTTCTTCTGGAGGAAAAACTTTTCTTTGCACTTGCCATGGTGCTAGGAAACCAAACCAAATATTCCTTCGTAGTTCTCGCCAGCCGTGAGCCGAGGTAAAAAGAGCGGTTTGCTCAACGAACTGTTTTGACAGGTTATGCCCCCTGTAGCGTGCAATACCCTGACCGTGGCCTAATACTGATCTGTAAGGTTGAAAGACTGTGTAATTTTCTTATCAGTAATTTTATGGTACGGTGTTTATCATTCAATGCCACATATCAAGAAATACTACAGCTTTGGGACCAAACAATCAACTTTGACTGAACATGGGTTGGCAAGATGTAAGCTTAGGGCTCATGGTAGTACAAGACCGGCTGCTGTTTGAATATGTTTCAATAGCTTTTTGTGGAAGTTGACTTTTTCTTCAGCAGTTCTGGACTAGAGAGATTGGCCCGAGACAGCACAAACAAGGCAAGGACTTGGTAATGACATGTTATGAATTGTTATGATTGGTTTTGTTTTTTTCCGGTAGGTTCGCGAAGCGTATTGAGCACTGCACCAGTGAGCTTATAGAGTATTAACTGGAACAGGCACGGAGAACGTCAGAGCTGAAAAGGATTGGTGTGCTCAGAGGGCAACACAAAGATATATTTAAAGCATACCGAATGCTTAAGGCTGTGCAATTTGGGATGGTGCACGTAGCCAGCTATTCATTGTGTGTATAATTAGCTGTGCATTGGCATTTGGACTTGTAGAATGAATAGACGTGTTCGTAACTCAATGCTTTTGCCCTTCAGAACTTCAGGTTATCAGAACATGGATTGGACTCACATGGGTTTGGAACTCAGCGGCTCAATAAAGGGTGGGCAAGGCGTTTCCGGCTTAAAACTGGTCTCGTTACGGTGGACCTGGGGGTCCTGTTTTGGGAGCTTCCCATGCAAAGAGACATGATTCATATACCAGTACAGCACTTTAGATGATTTATATATTTACTTTACAGTATCCTCCAGGTGGGCGATCCAAAACCTTTGTCCCACAGTATCCTTGCTCATTCACTGCTGTGACGTGATGTGACCTTATTCTTTTACAGGTTCTTTAGTTAAATACTAGTAGCAGTACTAGTAGCTTCTTGTTACTAGTAGCGACGGCCTCCAACCTAATAGCGGTGGCCTCCACCTAGTAGGCTTCTAGCTACTCCATGTCTATTCTGACTTTGCATGCCTTTTGTGCCTAAGACTCGAGAATTATGCTTGGTGTGCAAAAAGTTTGAGTTGTGACCCGACACACTTTTTAAGTTCACAATTCACAACGGCCGAAAACAAAGATGACTCGGAGCTATCCGTAATGCACTGTCATTCTTGCGACACGGAATGTGCTCGCTTTGCGATGGACGAGGTGAAGACATCTTCACTCTTCATTGTCTCCAACAGCTGGGAGTTTGGTCTACTCTCATTCCTTCGGTGGGCAATGGGGGTGATGGATTGGAAGTGATGCTCTTCGTTCAGGTCAAGTCGCTACACCGTGGTCGCAGTTGTGCCTATGGGCCTATACTATACCCGGGAAGGATTTTTCTCAGATGAAAGCATAGAAATGGAACAGGGCTCCTGAGAAGACACATAATTTTCTCGACAAATTGCGATGTTCCTCTCCGTGTTTGGTGGGTACAGCAGAGGATAGTAGTGTAGTCAGTTGTGTGGGCAACCCTGGTCTCCAAAAGCCAATGATGGGGCAGTTTCCCACCATCACTTATGGTTGGACCTTGACAATTCGCGAGCAAACCTGTCGCTCGATGATGCAAACGTTGGGTTGGCATCTGGGAATCCTGTTCGATCTCTCACCGCGTCAGCATCCGCTCACGACGTCGGAACCAGGGGGGCTTGGTTGGTCTTTCTTCCCGGCTGTTTGGTTGGTGGATTTTTAAGGCAGTGTTTGGGGCTCACTGGTTGTTGCGGGGGGTGTAAAACACACAGCCCTTGCCCTGCAATGTCTCAGGATTTGATGAAATTGTTTGTGCGAACATCATTCGAACTTGTTTGTACTATTTGTCCATCATTGCATTCAGAGGAAAAGAAGAATCGATTCACATTTATATAAATATAGTTTGATGCAGTGGCGCAGAGGGGGGTGAACCGTGACTTTGGCCGCAGATGCTGCATGACCAGTACTGCACCTACAGTGGTGGCTTGGCTTTGGATATGACTTTATACTATTTTATACAATTCATGCTTGGATTCCAAAATCATCCAGAAAGGCATTGGACTTCTTGAAACCATGTGGGCATTAGACCACCTTTTGACTTTTCGATGTGCCATGGACTCAACCCTGAAGATGCTGCATGTTAAGACCACAGTGTCGCCCAGGTTTCCCCAACTGCTGGGAAAGCAAAGTCGCTGTGTTTCATCCTTTAAAAAACTTGGAAGGGCCGGCTCCTGAGAGAGACACCGAGACCGAACAGACTGGACGAAAATGCATGGACAACAGCCGACTAGGATGATGAAGCGCTTCAAGTGTAAAGAAAGCTGCATCCTGGATCCTATATAGTAGATACGGCGTAGCTGAATCAGTCCCACCATAGATACTTTGTGGGCATCGTTCACCCCATGCTGACGAGAGCGCTGTCATGGAGAAGAGTCATTCGCGCGAAGCACTTCTTGAGAAGGCTGCCATTCCCCACTTCAGGCTCAGAGGGCAAGCTGACTGAAAAGCTCATGTGACCATATAGGCTATAATATACAGTATACATGGCCAGCCCTTCGCAAGCGAAACCCAGAGTCGCAGGGCGTCAGCCTGTGCCAACTCTCAACTGCCAAGACTGAAAAGGATCTAGGAGTTTCTTGGGCGTGCAGTAGCGGATTGGATGATGATTTGTTTGGTCTTGGCTTACTCAAAACACCTTTGAAGAACTATTGCAGCTGAGTGTCAAATCCCAAGAACCACCTTTCTGTCGCTCTGTGCAAGTGCCATGGCAGCAGATGAAAAGCCAGTTGAAGCAGTTACAAGGCCCACAAAGAAATACTGTAGATTTGGCATCCATCATTCGGAACTTCAAGTGAGAGTGTTTGAGGAGATGTTGTCCCTTGGGACACGCTCCCAGGTCCCAGCCAAAGTTTAGCACACACCATGTTGTTCAGTCCAGCAGAGACGAATGTTCCCATGCACTCCCCGTTGGAAGGGGAAAGGGCCTAGGGCATAGGGCTTTTGGTTAAGTCAAGATAGTAAAGCTGCATGACTGCATGATTCATATGAACTCACGTAAGCACTCCAAGTGTCACCATTTGAAGTAGCCATTTTTGCGGCTGTACCTTTGAGCCTCTCTCGATACGTTTAACGCACAGATGGCGGCAGCCGTTGGAAGCAGTGATGAGACGCATCCTCAAGGACCAGCTAGATTAGGATGTATGAATACAGGTATAGGTCTGTGCACATATATAGTTACACACAGACATACATACTGTACATTTTTAAAACTCATCCATATATGCACATGGTGGTGCATGAAGATCAATGAAGACATGAGGGGACCCTCTGGCGTAGCCTGGGAAAGATACATTGACATAGGTGCACAGGTGCGCAACACACAAACACACACACACACACATATATATATATATATACACACATCGCCGCAGACACACACACACAGAGATTCTAGTAAAAGGACACACATTTTCATACATGCAAGCCATTCCCAGACTTCAAGATAAATCGTGGAAGGACTATCAAGGTACAGAACCACAAGTTCGAGATGGGCTGCTGGACGGCATTCAGCTTACAGTACACCCATGATGCTCGCGGCAAATGCGATTTTGTGCATGTGCTGGGGCCACAGGCATGTGCTTGCTACGAGTCTTCCGTACCATTTCTGGAGAGGGAAGCGTGGATGGAAATCTTGCCAGTAAGGATGGAGTCTGGCATGCGGCGTTTGTTTGAAAAGCCCTATGACGCTGAAATCATGGCGATGATGGGTCATTCAGCTGCAGATGCTGGGGTAGTGGGTTGAAAGATGTTGAAAGTACGGGTCATCCACTTGTATAGGGACGTTTGCATTGGTGAGGGTAGGATGATCATTCCTAAAACAGGAGTGTTGACCTTGGCAACAGTTGCTTCCTTCATCATATACATATATACATATATATGGAAGTAATATACAGTAACAGTTTCGTCTTTCTTTTAATATATATTTATGTTGTAATTTTCCCATATACATCCACATTGACATTTTTGAAGCGATTCCTCCGGCACCTGTGCGCCTTGCCGGTGCCGCCCCTTCTCGCCGAAGCTGTTCTTCCCAGGGTGGAAGCCTTTGTCTTTGGAAGATGCGCAGCGAATCATTTTCTTTCCCCGTATGTGCCTCGTCTTGCACATGAGCCCAGACCAGCCTGAGTTGACATGTCTTGAATACGTGGTTGGGATACATTCTCTCAAGACTATCGTCAGGGCAAGCTGCTAATGTTTGGCACAGCGCAGCTTTGCTTGCCCTTTTTTGCCAGGTGGAATCGATTCGAAGACATTTACACTTTACACAACTTTGAGGTCTTGTCCTTGAGTGAACAAACCATCCCCAAGCCTCCCTGCAAATCCCCTGAGTTTGGAACGATGTGGAACGTCAATTTGCATGACAGGAGAAGATTCCACCAGCCAAGGTTGAGTTGTCAATTGAGTTGTCGTTCACACACAGCCAAGCTGCAACATGTTTGAGTCCGATCATGTGCCCACAAAAGTCCGATCATGTGTCCGATCATGTTAGACACCAGTGATCATGTGCTTGTTTGAGTCCGATCTTGGATATTTTTGAGGAGGCGTAACATGGTGTTTAGTCTTTTGCCGATTTCATCGTTGGACGTGACGTTTGCCCTCCTAGCTGAGGTCTGACATGGAGGCTGGAGTTTCTGTGCAAGTCCGGATTGTGGACTTAGCAGTGGGGCGCTTCTACACGAGTGTTTCAGAGCAGTTTGTAGCTAGCAGCCAGTATATGTGGCTGGAGCGGATAGCTCTTATAGCTTTATAGCCTTATAGCTATAGTCATAGCTCAATTGCATGGCCATCGCCAGCACATCGACCAGGTGTATGTTAAAGCCTTCCAGCTGGAGACCCCGGAAGCGACCAAAAGGAAGGCGCCACTGGGAAACCATGTCTTCAGCGGTTGATGGTTGATTGGCAACTTTTGGCTTGTACAGAAGTATGTGTGAGAGCTGTGTGACAGCAGCTGTTGGTGTTGTTTTTCGGCTTTCTGCTACAACATGCGAGGGCTTTCCACGAATTTAATCTGCGCAAGAGGAGCAGCTGATGAAATTCAAGCTGCTATCAGTCTTCTACACATTGCACAGACATGACGGTGCCTCGTCCGAAGAAATGCTTGGCTTGGGCAGATCAGCATGTTTGACATTGACAAACCGCACGATGTGGACACGCACACACACACACACACCTGTACATAACTATATATATATATATATTCACACGTACATATCGACATAGATTTTATACGCCTTGCTGAGACGGGGACGAGATCGTGCGAGCATCCGGACTTTTCTTCCCAATTGGCCTGAAAAGTGCAGATCATTGCATTTGTAGCTCCGCTCGGAATTGTTTGTAAGCTGGAGTTGGCTCTAGGCATGAGCCAGCCAAGAGAGCGTTATAATATATCACTCTGTCTCTCTCTCTCTCTATATATATGACTGCAGACTGTATATATATATATATAGAGGTTTAATTTTGTGTATATGCATATATATATATATTTTTGGTATATATATATATACATAGTGTCTATCTACAGTGCTCTATGTCCTTTCTTTCCAAAGGCAATCAGACAAACTGAGCACCAAAACATCTAAGCACACTCCAAAAATCATCGGGATACAGGGGAAGTGTCCACGAGTATGATCCGGCTACTACGAGTTACTATTCATTTGAGAGTCTGCAGCCTTTGCAAACCAGGTGGCTTGGCTGAACGCTTCATGCACTTTGGAGGTCTTCTGTCTTTGGTCAGCCTTTTGGGAGAGGACCGCGCACTCAGCTCTACTGTGCAGCACTCCAAACCGACCCCAAAGCACTCGGACTGTTTAACCCCAAAAGCGAGGACTATGGATGACTAAGGCAAGGGAGGTAAGGTGTCTTGGTGTTTGGCTTTTTGGCTGCAGATCAAGAACTGTAAGAACAAATGCAAGTTTCCATAAGAAAGTTCCAAGTTACGTACCGGAGAGTTGCGCACGATCAATGGAGGGGGGAGTGCGGCAACAGCATTGGCGCCAGGTTTAGGAACGGATTGGGGGAAAAGGGAACAGCTGCAGCTTTTCTAGTGCCTGACTTTTATGAGAAATGATGGTTGAAGTGGCATCACGGTCTTGGCGCTTAAGTAGAATTGCCTCGACTGAGTTTCTGGAAGAAGCTGGTCTACGACTCGACAGCCTTCCGGGATTTCTACATTTAAGTGATGGACGGCGGCGTATCAGTTTCTGGACCAAGCGGATCCTGACAACGTTCCACCGATTTCCCTGTTCGTAGCGTTAGGCCAGGAGCCCCGCACTAGTAGCGTCCGATCGCTCCGTTCGTTGCATGCACCTTCAGGGCTCGACATGTCGATGGATGCTCGGGAGGTTGTAGCTTGGGTGCTGTTAGTGGCCCGGTGTTTTCGCTATTTCTTGGATGGACTCAAGGTGGTTCGTTTCGTCTTTTTTAATGTTTTGTCCTTTCAACTTTTATCCTTTTTTCACCAGGTGTCAGGTGTGTGTTTGTTTACCGCGCCATTTGGAGCTGGAGCTGCCAGGAGAATCACGTCATCCAGTCCCAAGCCATCGAGCTTTTGACTGACTTCCTGGAGCCTCAAATGGCCATGCAGCCCGCAAGCTCTGGTCGTCAGGCACGAGAGCTGCCGGTTGGTTCTGGGATCTGATGGGAGCTCAACGATCCGATGAGCAAGCCTAGAGTCCTAGAGGCAGACGATGTATGCCAAACGAGCATTTCGTGAGGATGCGGAAGGGGATGGAGCAGAGAAGTCAGGTTGTCAGGTTGTTAATTGTCCAATTTGATCTTGTATGATCTTGTTATTGTCCTGCTAATGTTTAATATGATGTTTCATGATTTTCGCAACTCGTTCAACTTGATTCTTGCTTGTCAGGCGCACTTGCAGCACCACGTTTTTCTGTGACCCTTGTCACGATAGCAGGGTGTGCACATGTGTTGCTTGGTTTTCGTCCTCTTCCAGACAATGTGATGAAACTCGGCGGGTGATGGCACTGGCACTCCAGCGACTCAAACCCCACACATGCTGCCCTTTTGATTCCCTTTCACTTTCTGCCAGTTCCGCCGACAGGGGCGATCTGGGAAAAATCGTCGACGCTCCACCGCGGCGCTCTTCGGGTGAACGGCGCTCTTCGAGGTCTGAGCTCCGGACCGCTTTGGCGGAATTGTGCGCAGATCCTCGCAGAGCCTGGCGAGGCCGCGCCGCGGCGCCGGAAGCCTGGTCGGAGCGTGGGCGCCGGTTTTCCAAACGGTGCCCCAAATCGGATAAAAGGCACAGCCAGTGACCTGCACCACCAATGGTGTAAGCGAGGTGTGAAGACTTCTGGGGTTCGATCGGGTTCTACGCCAGCCGTCGAATGGGACCGTTGGGAGGTCTTTCCCCGCAGCTTTGACAGCAGCATTCGCCTGCTGGCGGCAGCCATTGGCTGGCTACGGCCACAAAATGGCCAGTCAGTGCCGGAGGCAGACGTTGCGTGTCAATGGGCATGGATGATTTACTTAGATGTTTGGCTGGTCATGCTGCCGGAAGGCCGGAGCAGTTTCGACGTCCAAACAGAGAGCGCCAGGCCACCGTGCCTCCAGAAGTCCATGAGGCCTTTCAGGCCTTGCAGCGCTGTGCCGATGGCGCACGCTTGGGGCCAGAGATGCGGCAAGTGGCTGGAGAGCTTCTGGAGGAGACGCGGACTTGGACTTGAGCCAGTACGGCATGCATCTTTGTAAAGAAGCATGCCGTTATTCTTGTTTGTTTGATTTTGTTGGTCTCTACACAGATCTACAGAAGCACTCCCACCATTCTCTACTTATATACGCTCCCATGTAAGTGATCATGTTGGTGTACTTACATACCTCGCGTCTCTTTGCCTCATGTTTCCATCGCTCTCGGCCCTTTTTCAAAGCAGCATCCTCTGGGGTGTTTTGTTGGATCGCCTTTTCGGCCTGAAACCATCTTGATGACCAGAACTGATGTGTCTCAGGTCTCCCTTTTCGGTGCTTCACGGTGTTTTTCGCAGCTCAGGAGCTGGCCAATGTGCCAACCATTCGCCCGGGGCACCCAGAATCGGCCGGTTCACCGGTTCCCATGGCCGAGACGGCGTCGATGTCAGGTTCCGACCCGCTGTCCGGTGACGCCTTGAAGAAGTGCCAAAATAGCCTCTTCGATCCCACCATGCAGCGCAGAGAGGAGCCACAGCTGCAATCAGCATCACATGGATATCATCAGATGCGAGAGCACCCATGGCAGATTTTTAGTTGGCTTCAGGCTAACTCTGCCAAACAGTCAATGTCTCAGGATGAGGCACATGCCTGGCAAACCTTGAAGCTGCTGGGGAGTGAAGCTGTGAAAGCACAACTTTGGTGCTTTGGCAGGAGTTGGCCCTGGTGGTTAGATGCGGTTAGTATATGTGTAGGTGTAAATGTTATATATATATATATATTACACATGTCATACGTATGCATGTGTACATTCATGTGCTGCCAATTCTGGCATGATGTGCAAAAGCATGGTTTTGCTTCCCCTTCCCTCCCCTTCCTGTTTCAGGATCGCTAGAGTTGGAGATACACAGCAAATTTCAGCCAATGTGAGATGTTCGGCGGTCCCATCGGCAGGTTTTGTTGAAATGCAGCCAGTTCCTCACCTGCTATCAGGTGGCCTGCAGAGGCAATCTACCGTTTGGCATTAGAGGTCAGCAGAGATCAGAGATGTGCAGAGTCCATGATTTACATGTGGGTTTGTGTGATGCCAAGAGTTTCCACAATTTACTGAAAGTTGATGGGTTTGCTTGAACATACCTGACCAACATTGTTCAACATGCTAGTTGTGCAGCTTATGAAAACGAGCCACCGAGCCTAGGACCTAGGCCTGCCTTACTTGTAGATGCCATGTCCTGCCCACCTACATTGTACCGTGCTCCTGGCCTTACTACTAGTAACAAGAAGCTACTAGGGGCTCCTGGCCTTACTACTGGGAACAAGGACGCTACTAGGGCCTAGGGCTCTTGCCGCACCTGGAGTTGCCACGCCGCACGCTGCGAGGAGGGCGGACAAGTGCTTCCAGACGCTGAAGCATCTGTCTTGAACTCCAATCGGGCAGCCTGACACAAATACCCCGCACTTCCACAAATGATTATAACGCGGGAGAGAATGAAAGACTCTTGATTCTTGAAACATCACAGGCAAAAGCAACAGACCAAAGACATGTTTTAAAATGATCCCAAGACACATCCGGACTCTGAAAAAGACGCCTAAGAAGAAAAACACTTCAAAACATTGTTGGTCCTCAACCTCAGGCTTTGGTCCTCATCAAGGCGGGGCACTTCGCGGAGGCCGCTGAGGCTGCACAGGCCGCGCTGGTGCTCAATGAGCTCAACGCCAAAGCGGCCTTCCGGCGCGCACAGGCGGAGTGACAGGATCTGAACAAAAGAACACCTTTTTTGACACTTCATGAGGTCTAGCCAGCAGCCCAGGCAAAAGAACGCCAAAACACAAAGTAATTACAGTAACTTGGGGGAAGCCGAAGTCTATCCTAAAATCAATCTTACAAGAGTTTTGTTGGAACTCACGACCCGTTTTTCTGGGCAAAGACCGCCATGGCGCTTGCAAGGCGCTTGTGGAGTTAAGCTCTCCGGAGGCCTTTGCTGCTGCCAAAAGGGCGCAGGAGTTGGAGCCCAAGGACAGACTCGGCACGTGGAACATCAAAACGAACCTGGTGTGGAACGAATTTCACCCATCAAAAACCGAGGTTTCTCTTTTCTAAAGGGGGTTTGGATGGGGTTGACCAATTCTCAAGCGCTTTCTCGAAAGATGTCTCGATTTTGGCACTTTGGATGGAACATTCTCATGTCGCTCTTGGTCTCCAAAGAGCTGTCCTTTTTGATAAGACCATATTATTGTTTTTTTTCTGCATCTATCGTCTGAGTTTTGGAGCTTGAAACTGGGAGGCTGCAGCTGGTCGAAAGCTTGCTGCTGTGTCATGGAAGAATTGCCCAAGATAGCCCCAAAAGAGAATGGACATGCAAGCTGTCCCTTCTTCTTTTGCGTGACATGACTAGGACAAGATGGTGCTAGAACTGACGCTTGGCCTGCATGTGGCCAGAAAATCTGACAGCTGTTTTCGTTGTCCAGTCACAAAGGTTTTGTCAGAAAACATGAAGGAACGTCAAGAAGCAGCTGCACTGGCTTAGCAGAAGCTACCACAGTTAGATATTGAATCATTTGCCAAGCAGGTTGCGGCTTCAGCAGTTCCAATCAAGTTGACGGGTCCTCCCGCCGAAAAGCGGGGGCAAACGAGTCCCTCCGAACGCCCGAGGCTTCAAAAGGCGGAAGCCTTGCCTGGAGTGAATGATCTCAACGGCATGGATTGACCGACCGAGGTCTTGTCCTCGCTTGGGCGTTTTGAGTAGCTTCCCATGACTCCGTCATGACTCCGTCTACAGCTCAAGAAAGCTGTGGAGCTGCCCTTCATGCCTTTCCGAAAAGCTTCGACCAACAAAGATTGGGCGGACAAAGTGACAGAGAAATAATAAATAGCTCCCTCTCTCGTCACAGGCTCAGGGATGCTGATTCTATGAAAGCAATGGGGGCCAACACCTGAAGAAGTGCAGTTAGAGCTGTTTGATTCCAGCATATCTTGTAGCCAGGTGGTGTCCCAAGTATGTGCAATCAGCCAACCTCGGCCTGCAGAAAGACCGGATACCAAAAAGCAATCGTGCAACATTCTTCATGGAAACTCTGGACCAGAGCTGTGCCATTGCCCCCCCCCCAGCACCATTCGTTGCTGGCATTGGATGCATTTGCTTTGGCTTAAGACTGGGAGACAGAGTCACCGAGGTTCACCGCCCCTGACTCGGCACGAGGAACCAGATCAAGTCCAGTCACCCAATCCATCCCAATCCCTGTTGAGGATGTGTTAGAGGTCTTTAAGGGGCACCAGGCCAGTCCCCGTATTGACCAGGTTTCTTTGTCTCCTCCCGTCTCCTCCCGTCCCTGCATGATATCCTTCTTTGGGTGAAAAAACACCGAGGCAGGGAGACTGCTGGTGGAAGATGAATCAGGCGGGCTGCGGAAGTGGTCCGTAACACAGTAGGGCAGTCCTCTACGAATTCACCGACAGCACGGTGTGACAGGACCGTGAGCTAGACAAGTCACAGCCAAAGCAGCTCGCAGTATGTAGATTACTGTAGGCAAATGCAGCACTGGTGTTGGTAGAGGAGCTGCACAAAGTAGTCTGGCTTCAAATTGTATATATATATATATACTTTGGAGATTTTCTCGATTCATGGTTTTCTGCTCTGCACTCCTTTCTTTCTGCCCAGATCGATGAGAAAGAGAGAAAGGCAAAGGAAGCTGCAGCTGCAGCCATAGCAACCGCAGCCCCAATAGCAACCGCAGCCCCAACGGCCGCGGCGCCCGCGGCCTCCACCACCACGGCTCCGGTGGCCAACACCTCGGCAATGCCAGCCGGAGTGGCACGTGTGCATCATTTGTTTTTGACCAAGAAAAATCCACAACGGCCAGCACCAGCTGAGAAGGCCGAAGCCGAAGTTGGGGAAAGGTTTGGGAAGGATCCGGATTCCAGGGTCAGGGTTCTTCAATTCTTTCCAATGCACTCTCTCAATTTCTCAATCAGTCACTCACACACGTACTCACGTTCTGGCTGTGTGGCTGTCTTGCTTCTACCAAGGCATACAATGACAAACTTTGGAGGAGGGAGACTTGTAGCTAGCAGAAATCTCGCAGTTTCCTCGCCAATGCAGGTTCACCCTTGACGGCATGGCATAGCCGCATAGCCGCAACCGCAATGCATTTTGACTCAGCAACATCTTACCTAGGACTAGTGTCCTTCAGACATGAGCCATTCAACATCCTCATTAATTATACAATGTGGATTAAGATGGATTAAGTACATGTTGCAACCCAGCCGCCAGGTAATTAGCAACAATGTCGGTTTGGAGGCTATTATGTTCTCAGTAGGGCAGCTTATCAAACGGAGATCATGTAATGAAGCCTTTTGATTGCGACAATATTCACTTCGAGCCTTAGATGTAATGGTCGCAATTGTCTCAGCATGACCTGCACTGTACACCTCCAGGCATTGTTTCCGTAATTTGCAATAGCATTGGATGGCATTGCGCCTTTGCCCGCCATTGCATTGCACTGGCACGCAGATGTTTTTGCATCATGGTCAGGCTTAGCCAATGAGCCAATGTGATCCTGCAGTTCAGGCTTGGACTAGAGAAAGCATGCAGCGTTGCAGACCAAGTAGCCAGCACGATACTAAAAGAGGCTTGCGCAAAAGGCCCACAAGAACGATCACAACACAGAGGCTCATCAATGCTCATTGCGCTTTATTGAGATGGGCATGTCTTCTAGTCGCTTGAGGTCAGAGCAAGGGCTTCCAACCTACTGCAATAGCGATGGCCTCCAACCTGCAGGCTTCTTTGAGTTGCCCTGATGGCAGGAAGTTCCACCCCCTCAGCCTGAGGAGAGCGCTTTGCTACCACTTGAGCGAACAGGGCTTCCTACCTTCGCTCAACAGAACATGTTGTTTTTGATTGAGGCATTGGTTTGAGGCCAAATCAGCTGAACATGAACATGGGTCAACTTGTGGCCAAAAACTCAGGAAGTCCAAGGCATAGATTTTGTGCTTGTGTTGCAATCTCTTCGCGTGTAGTTGGCATTTCAACGGCCGACCAGCGATTTCAAAGAGCCTATTGAAGTTGAACCCTCATGGTTAGAACAAAAATCGGTTCCACCAACTGGAAGCTTATGATCCACCATGTCAATTCACAAGCGTCTCGCTGTGTTTGTGTTGGAGCCGTGTTTGCGAGGCATTGCGTGTCCGCCACAACCGTCCGATCGTCTAATCCCCTTTCCTTAGCATTGCCTTGTCTTCAGAACATATGTTCTTCACATGGGTACTCAATGTTTCACATTTTCAAGCGAAGATTTCCGTGGTCGACCGGTAGCCGCACCAAGCGCCAAGCGCTTGGGCTTAGCTGTTGCACTGAATCCTGTCTAATGAGAAGGGTCAAGGCAGAAGAGGCAAGGCAGCCAGAAGTGAGACACATCGAGGACCAGTCCCATAGACAAATCAGCGCATAATGGGATGTGAATGGGGGCTCGGCTCCAGATGAATGAAAAAAGCGGTTCCCCCCGTGTTTCTCGCAAAGTTCCTTTTATATGATGTACTGTATATGGTGACGGGCAATTCATATATCATATACATCTGAGTGTTTATATGCTCTAAGTGTTAGAGATGAGTTGAGATGAGTTCTCAGCGTATGGATTTCCATTGTTCTACGTGCATGGCTTAGAAATGCTGATTTGTTGTTCTATGTGTTGGATCCTCTGGATGCTCTATGTGACTTCTTTTTGGCCAAAAGAAGCCACGCCCTCATTTGGTTGTTTGCCACTATAAATCATATTTTTTTTAAATCACACACACATATACATTTATATATATAATATATACGTGGAAGAACTGGTGGGGAACCACAAGTGCTGGCATATAAACAAGCAAGATTCACCCTGTTTTCTGCCATGCTACCCCATAACCTGAAGGTCATCGCGCCCATTGTACCAGCCAGCTTGATTCTTCTGCCTCTGGCCCATTGAATCCCATGCCCATTTCACGCCCGTCCAAGCTCTTGCACCTGATCTCGCACCCCCCTGACAGAGGGTGACAAATGAGCAACCGACATTCCTGTAAGGCGACGGACGAAGGGATGTTGCCTATGGCCTAAACTATACAGGATCGGCTCCCAACCCTACAACCGATACTCACACATCCAAACCCTTTGTTTGTGGCAGTGGTCTAAGCTACAATTCTTGTCCGCCACTCACATAGTGTTCTGGTATGGCAAAGTCTTCCACGGCCTTGCGCCAGTGAAATCAACTCTCTACTTCACAAGCGCTCGGGTGGATGGGCTCGAGAGCGAGATTGACACAGAGAGTTGTGACGGGTCCTTTTTGCAATGCGAATGCAGCGAACTTTCCAGGGAGGGCAACAGAGGTCCCATGGGCGACACGAAAACCAGACGCTACAGTACCCCACCCTTGGGTCGTATACTAGCGTTCCGGGAAAAAAGACAGACATGAGTATCAATTTTGATCTGGGAACACCACGTTTGACTGTTTGACAACAAGAAGTCTGGGAAATGACGTTAAGTGCCTGACGACACCAGGGATCACAGATGGAAAAAAGCACCAGTCAAGCACGTCACTTCTTTCAGAGGCTAAACAGCGGGTTGCCCGGAAATGAAGTTTGCGTGCATTGCTCGGCTTAGGTTCCATGGATGCCCCACAAGCTGTCATTGCGCAGACTCGACGAACCAACGCGCGTCTTTAGCCTGCGCAAGAGGCGTCTTTTCTTTGCTGCGCCTCGAAATGAGGCCCATAGCTGTAGTGCTCAAGGAGGTCATCCATCACGAAGAATGGTTTAGAAAAGCAGTCCGCGGTGGCCAGACTGTTCTGAAGCATTTTTTGAGGGTGGTGACTGTTCTGAAGCCCTGGTGACCATAGGCGGGGGCATGTTGAGATAGATACACTCCACAATTGATCTACATGTTTGTATTGTAAACAATTTACTTTCTAGCATTTCTTTGTTACGTTGGTGGTGTGAGCATGTTACTGCCTCATTACCTGGTGGCCCATTTGGCTCGAAGGTCGCCTGCACAAGCAGTTTCTGCCTTGACGTAGCTCGATTTGCTCGATTCCATGACGCTCCACCTGGGTCATCCTGATCTTGAGGATGAATCCGCAGCCCTGGTGCAAGGCGCTGTTTAGTTTCTGTAGGTGTGGAGCTGATGGGTTGACTATGTTTGATTTACATTGATTTACTGGCAGGTGCCTCAAACAATCATTCCAGGTGCCGACTGGGTTAGTCATTAGCAATGAACTTTACAAAACTTGCCTGCTGTCTTTGTTGCCTGAGACCCCCCATAAATATCATAAAATCCCATAACTTTGCATCACACACACGCCCGTGGTCGTCTTTGTCGTCGTCGTGGTGGTGGTGGTGGTGGTTGTTGTTCTTGGCGTCACGGCCATACGGGCCCCTGGAGGGCGTTTAGTTTTCTTTCTATGTTGACTGTACTTTCATGGTCGTTCACCAACATAACCTTGTTTGCCGTTTGGTTCAACCTTTTTGGTGCCCCCCCTGAAGTTCAAGAAGTTTTGTGTATGTTTGTTTTGGCAAGTGAATGTTGGTGACTTAAACCCTGAGAAAAAAATGTTTCAGCGTGGTCGTCTTCTCGTTTCATCATCACATTGCAGAATCATGTTTCAAAAGAGTCATTTTTCGCATAATTTTGTAGCACCTTGGCGCGAAACCATTTAAGACGCCACCAGGTATGTTTTGATGGCTCATGCGACTTGTGCAGGCATAGGATTCGCAGGATGGTAGACGTGTAGAGCCATGCATATGGCGGCCAGGTGTAGGTGATTGTTTGGCTGCTGTAGTCCGCAGGTGATGACACATCCAGCGAGACCCCAATGCTCAGGCGATTCCGTTTCGGCCACTTGAACATTATGTCTTCGCTCTTAGGTTGGAGGCCATCGCCTCGCTATTACGTTGGAGGCCATCGCTATTAGGTCGGAGGCCATCGCCATTAAGTTGGAGGCCATCGCTATTAAGTTGGAGGCCTATCGCTATTGGAAACACAGAATAAAGAACAGGAAGAAAGGTCTAATGTAGTTTATGCATTACTTTTTGTTCCAAGATCTTCGTAACGTCCTGTTTCGTAATGACCCACAAAGAGATGCCGTGTGCAGATTTAGGACGGAGTGGATGAGAGAGGCAAGGGTGCAGAAGTGCCAGAGAGGTAGGCTCGTTTGGTGGGCCCCACCGCGTCAAATCGGGCTGATGATCCGTAAAAAGAGAGAGCAAGAGGGTTGGGGATTTCTCCAACACAACTGCAGAACAGATGCGACCATATCAATCAACAAGACAAACAAACAAGGCGAAAGAGACGTCAAAAGACTGACATAGAGGGGTATATAGTTCTTTTTTGCAAAGCTGACAAGCTTACAGTACCTCGGCTTGTAATGCCAATTCTTCGGCGTGCAGCCAAGGTATGCTTGCGATCGCTATGGCCTTGATAGTTACCGTTGGAATCTCAGGTGTTGCTTGTAAACCTGGATGAAATTGAGAAGCAACAGCCCGAGACTCCAAAGGCCTACAACATGGCCTAATTACAGCGCAGTGTAGGTGAGCATTTGCTGGCCTTTTTGGACCACAAGGTGCTTCTTTGGACGACTCCTAATGACTCCTAGACTTGGACTTGAAGCCACTCCAAACTCTTCTTCCACACAGACTGAGCATGGCTCTCTTGATCGAGTGCCGAACACCGGCACACCGGTGTTGGCAAAGGCCCTTCATTTGCGAAAGGGTACAGTCTGAGCGCGGTATGTGTGCATGCGACCGAAAGGGCACTACATAAGGCGTATGTATGGATACCTCACGTCCGCGACGCACAGCAACCCTTCCAAGCGCGACAGGTGTCGGTGTGAGACAGCTAGACTCTTCAGAAAGAGAGAGAGAGAGAGGGAGAGAGCGAGCGAGCAACCCCTCCATGTGCAGTTTCCCGTCCCTTTCCGCAGCTGGACCACTCACACGAGACTTCCTTTACCACTCACTCGCGGCCCAGAGGTGCTCCGCGCCTCGCTCCACCCGGTTCCGAGGCGACCGTGATCAATTTTAGATCCTCCATTGTGGAGCTGAGCTCGGCCGCCAAGGACACGGATGCCGGCGTTCTGAGGCGTTCTGCGAGCGAATTGCGAGGTTGGGGAGAAGTAGAAAAAAGAATGAAAAGGACTTGTGCAGATGCCAGTGTGGTCATCATACGTTCTGGAGCCCAGAGCATGGGCACTCAGCATTCTGAGACCTTTTCGCTGAAGATAGTTTGCAGAGAAAAACAGTCTTCTACAACCAAGAGTGACCCACTGGGACAGTTGACTTGAGCCATTTACTAAACTCCGTGCATGTTTTGTTCCAACTTGCAAGCCCCAGTCGAAGGACTCAACCATCCAAGAGTTCAGCGACATGGATGCATTGCCGTGTCTCAAGGGTGTGTGAGCACCACATGCTGGGAATCTGGGAAACCATGGCAGACCACCGCACAACAGGCTGCAAAATGAAAACATCGTGCTTGTGGTGGTTCGCGGGTGTTGGGTACTGGGTGGGTAGAGCAGATGCTGACCTGGTTTGGCGGATGTGTGAATGTGGCGGACGCCGTGAAGCACAATGCTGAGGCACTGTGGATAACAGGCTTCAAAAGCTGATTCATGATCTACGGGAAGCGATGTCGATTACCAAAAGGATGGAGGCGAAAGAGCAAAAGGCACAGGCCCCTTGGATCTGAGAACTTGTTGCTGAAATTGCGGTGGGTAGGTTGGAGGCCATCGCTACTAGGATGGACAAGTAGAACATCCTTTTCCCTTTACGGCTTGCACCAGACTCCAGAGGTTGCGGTTCTGGGTTTGAAGGAACGAGCACACAAGAATATGAGACACGTGCTCATCAAGTTTCCAGACCTCCTTTCATTGTTGTTCTACTGTTGCAAGTCCTGAGGTTTGGATAGGATTGGAGGATGGGATGTGGCGGTACAGGAAATAGAAACAGTTTCTGTAGAGCGGATTGCTAAAGGCAAGGTATCAACATAAGAATCAACATAATAGAACGTGCTCAGCAAACCCAGTTTCTTCCTACTTCTTTAGGACAACATCTAATTGATCTCGGGCACCCAAGCAGTGACACATACTCAAATCCAGAAATTCCCATGTCTTCAGTGTAGGGACCACAGCTTGAAAACAAGCACCTGGAAGACCAAAAGTTACACGCCGCTGCTGTAGGAGTTGCACAGAATCGAAAGAAGTAGTGGGCTCCCCGAAGCTGACATGCTCCTACCATTCCCAACCGAGTCAGTAAAGACTCCTTCCCCAAGCCCTTGGGAGACTGAGGCCGCCGCAAAGGCCGCGGCCAAGGCCGCCGCAAAGGCCGTGGCAGCAGCGAAGGCTGCATCGCAGCCTGCGCAAAACGTTACCAAGCCTGCAGGCCAGGCAACAGAAAAAACTGGTGTTTGAAAGGAGTCAAGACCGATCGATACCTTGCGATAATATGCTTAAGTATGGGTTGCATTAATTCGTATGACTCAAATGCCCAAGTGACGCTGAGAAAGGTTCCTTGGTGTTCAGAGCTTCAACTGCCCAAGGAAGCAAAGTTTGCCTTTCAGGAGGTAGGTGAGAGCACCCTGGACTCCCTGGACTGGTGTATGGCGTTGTAGCCAGATAGTACCAACTGGATTACCAACACGAAGGACTGCAGTGACACCACTCCACCAGAAACTTGGCCATGTCACCATGTCAAACTTGCAGAGCTCCGAAGCGAGTTGGGGAGAGGCATCGCTACTAGGAGCAAGGACGCTACTAGGGGCGCGGATCTCCAGTGACTGGAAGCGACTTGGCTTCTTTCGGGTCAGCCGCAGGTCCAAGGGGCCTCAAGCAGAACTCCACGTGCACCCGACCTCTTCGCCCTGCCCGGGTTTTTGGGTCAGGCCCTGTGAAGCCGAAGTTTGACAACACCACCAAGCAGCTGATTTGGAAAGATCCCTTTTCGTTTTTTTGCTGCTTGGCTGATCTTGGCCAGCTTCAAAAAAGAGAGGCACTGGCGTCAGGCTGAGATGCATCCTTAGCATTATTTCTATTACGCAATGGACACGGATGCAGAGGCCGCGGAATACGCCATGAGCATGTTTTGCGCAGCTGCAGAAACTTGCACAAGCTGTGCCACATGTCGCATTGCTTTGTTCACAGCAACAAGTGCCGGGGTGAAGCAATGTAGCTTCTTATTATTGATTCTTTCTCACATGCTTGCTGGCTGCGCATTCTTGCTTGTTTCTACATCCTGTGTGTGCTTTACTGCAATGTAATGTTTGCATTGAGCACCATTGAGCTATATATATTTTACGTTTCTATGTATATCAATGCATACGTCATTTGCATCTCCACTGGACCATTCTCAACGTAAGTTTTGACCGGCCCCATTGGGCCCCCGCAAGACACCGGCGGCACGCGTGGCTTCGTCTCAGGCTTTATGCTCGTGGTGCCGTCTGAGCTGCCGATGATCCAATGGCAGCGACTCGATGGACCCAACGTTTGATCGGGAGAAGCAGCGAAGGACGATGGCCACCGGGAACCCCCCAATCTTCGTTTGCAACAGCTCTCCACAGCGGGAAGCTTTCTATTATACTTCATCAACAGTCTACATTGGAGGACCATAGCTGGGCTCGCTAATGCCCAGTCAATGGCTTTCATTGTGTGGTTCTTTGGCCATGAAAAGTTCGAGCTAGATCCACTGCAAGCCTTGCTCGATGAGGAATAAGACCAAGGCGGCTTGTCTGCATGGCTCAAGCAGCTCAGGTTCAAGAATGGAGTTGGCATCTTTGGATGCAACAATTGGGCAGTATACAACTCCGGCTCAGAGTCTTGGCAGACACCTACTGGGGGCCATCATTAGGATTGACATGAATTGACTAGGACATACTCCGTCTTGCAAATGACAGATATTTCCCCCCCCTATTGTACAGCAGGCGGAACCCAATTATAAAGTCGTACATGTTTCCTGAGGATCAGCAGCTTTTATAGATCTGTTCATAGTCACACCTCGCATTCTATCAAATCCTGATCCCTTCAAACCAGTGCATACTTTGCAACTGCATGATGAAGAGAGATGGCCCAACATGAAGCTGGATGCTCCATGAGGCGTGTGAGTGTTTGCAGGCGCCGAAAGGAAGTGCTTCGTCTTTGTGTGGTGCACACATTCCTGTGGATGTTCTGCGCGTACAATATTTACACAGATTACGATCAAGCTAATGAGCGCCACGTGTTCTTGGATGTTTTTGCTGCTGTAGCAATGCATGCAGATGTTTGTTTCCCTATTGTGACACTGAACAAAGGCCAAGAATGCAAGTGGACATGCAACCTAGTTGTTTCAGAAGTCGTGGCCTTACCACTGTGCCTCGTGTGGTTCTGATTCAGGGATGTGAGCAGGACCAGTTCTGCGGGTAAATCATTTATATTATATGAATCTGAACTAACCCTGAAACTGAACAATTTGGAAATAACAGCTAGCTTAGCCATGGAACAGAACAGGGCACTGGCTGAAGAAAAGTGTATAGAGGCAAGGCATTGCCCTTAACAAGGTTTCCTAGCAAACATAGCATCAGCTCTCCCTTTGCACAATCATCTTGCTATGGAATTGTGTGCTGTGTTGCTTGAACTTTTTGGAGGAGCTATCATTATACAGAAAGGGGGAGCAGGGCTCAACAAAATCTTGCGGGGATTGAACGCATATCAGAAGCCCAGGACAGCTTGAAGATTGGCACCTATGCGGATGGTGTCTCATTTGCAGTCTCAGAGCCAGACATTCCTTCCCCGTTTCGAGAACCGCCCATTCGTCGCGTGGGCCGTTGGGTCGACGGGACCCTTTGGCCGTCCCAGGCAGTGCGGCCAAGACGACGCCCCTTCCAGGTGCGCCGGAGTTCACAGCAGCTCCCCAGACGGCTTTTGCTTGTGATAGCCGCAGGGCAACGGCATGTGAATGAATTTGCACAAGGCCTCAGTGTGGGCATGCCATTTCTGTGCAGGCCCTGATGCTTTCTTTGGAAAGTCGTATTTTTGGGGCTGCAGCCGGCCACAGAAGTACTTGATGAACGTATCTTGGCCTTGTAGGGCTCAGTGAACGGATGAGGATTGAATGTGATGATTCTGCCACCGACTCAGCACACACAGACCAGGAAGGGATTGGCCATCCCCGGATGGACTCTTTTTTTAAAGGGGGGGTTAGGCCGGTAGAGGGAGGTAGTAGCTAACGGTAGCTAGTAGAAGAGGTGGCTGGTAGCCTAAGTAGCTACTAGCTACTGGACGCAGGATAGCATGCTTCTTCACGGAAGCTGCTTCCTTGAAGAAGCGCTCGCACTATTCATTTGGTTCGGATTTTTAGGGAAGCTTCAGGGTTTTGGTTTGAGAACTGTCAGTTGGGTTTGGGGTTTAGGTTTCCAGGAAGAAATTGGCCACCCCCGGTGTACTCTCCTTGCCCAAATCCTGCATGTAGCGTAGGGAGTGCCACTGGTAGAGTTGTGGGGTGTCAGAAGAAAGCCTTCTCGAGCACATCATTGAACGCCGTTGAACGATAGGTCCAATAGAGGAATAATAGGGAGGCATGGTGGTGTTCTCCGGGCCGGCAAGGCTTTGGTCTCTCAAGCATTGCACCCGCTCAAGCATCGCACCTACTGTAGTGGAAGAGAAACTTTGACAACTCTTGAGTTGGTCTGGCAAGGGAACCATTTGAGACCAGAACTAAACGTGCTCGGACAGAGGGAAAAACGTGGTCTTTTCATGTTTTTTCTCCCTTGCAACACATAAGTAGGTTTGATCATGGAGACCGGTTACAACTCCTCAAATGTTTTGTTTGTTTTGCTTTTTGAGGCTCGAGCTATGGAACGATCGCCCCCGGGCCCCAGCAAAATTGAGCCTCCCCTTTGAATCCTTGCACGGAAAGAAACGCGATCGATTCAACTCGAAATGGAACTCTTTCCGAACCACCTGACCTTTAACCCCTTTGCCAGCATCCAGCTTCGGCCTGGTTGAGGCCAATGTGATGGTGCGGGCTTGGGAGCATGCAGCAGGAGAAGGTGTTGCAGGCATCCTGCAGTGCATGTTGCTTTGCTGTCTCGGCCATGCAAAGCTCATCCTGGACTGGCAGGTTATATAGCTGCTTGCATCTCTCCTCAGTGGGTTGCTGTAGTCATAATTGCCATCACTGCTCTTGTGTTTTGTGTGGTGATGCGTGGTGTTTAGTCTGTTTAGCAGCTTGAGGTTCCGGACCGCTACAGGGGTTCAAGTCAACCAAGTAGCAATGGTGCATATGTATAGTGGGTTTCTCCCTGCTTCCTTCACAAGTACCCAGTGCCTTTTCACATTGCGCGGGGAGGGAAGGTCAAGAAAACAGGGTTTAGGGATGTTGAGGGTGCCTTTTCATATGTTTCACCTCTGAGTCTTTTGCCCGATGTTTGGGGAGGTAGCGCACCACAAGTCTTCCAGGTAGCAAACTACCACATGACATACGTTTTGCTGCTTTCATTGCCTGCTGCATCTTACGGCTATTGTAACACTTGCAAATTAGGGGTTGACTCTGGATGCTCTCGAAAGTGCACCTGTTCTTAGAGGGCTGCAGGATGCTGCAGGCCTTTCAACTGAAAGCATGGATCATCACTCGAAGAACTGCCCACACTTTCTCAAGTGCTTGCCCTTTTCGAGCAAACAGAGTCTTCTCCGACTTCATCCTTGCAGTTGCCCATGCTTTTCCTGTGCCTACTGACGTTTTCTTAGACGTGCTGATGTTTGCTTGCGCCACGTATACCGCTGGTGTTGTGGGGTCAGATATTCCTCGGTTCCAGCTGCCGGACTCGGATTTCATTCGTCCAGGCATGCATTCCTGGATCGTCAAGGCTGGACGGGCATGTTGTTGACGAGCTTCTGAAATGCTGTGTTCCCCCAACATCTTCTTCATGTTCCAGATCATGCATCTTGGACCCTCGTCCCAATGTCTGCTACCCCAAAAAGGACACCAACTTATCCAACATTTTGGCAAACAGGGGCGGCTAGTGACTAGCTTTTCGATGCTTTTCGCATTTTTTCGCATCATTTTCCCACCGAGAGCCACCAAATTCACCGAGACGAGTGGAGTGGAATGTCCGCGCGGCCGGCCACAATTGGCACTTGGGCCACTCAGGTGGATGCAGACTCGGTGTTCAGCGACAGCCTCAGGATAAAATGGACGGAGCCTGTATATCAGTTGTATTAGCCAAATCTTGAAGAGTTTATCGAGGCACTGAATTGGCTGAAAGCCTTTTGCTGAACTTGGCTTTGGCCATTAGTACTCTTTGGTATGAGAAATCTGAACTTGGGCTCGGGGGGTCATAACAGGGAGAGGTATCAAAAAAAACATAAATAGGGATCAATAAAAAAATAAATAGGGATCAATAACAAAGCAAATAGGTATCAATAAAAAAATAAGTAGAGATCAAGACAACAACAAGCAGGGATAAAAAGAAGCAATAGAGAAGAGAGAAAGGAAAGAAAGAAAGAAAGAAAGACAGAACAACAGAAAGAAAGAAAGAAAGACAGAAAGAAAGAACGACAGAAAGAAAGAAAGAAAGACAGAAAGAAAGAAAGACAGAAAGAAATAAAGAAAGAAAGAAAGAAAGAGAGAAGGAAGGAGGGAAAGAAAGAAAGAAAGAAAGACATAAAGAAAGAAAGAAAGAAACACAGAAAGAAAGAGCGAAAGACACAAAGAACGAAATAAATTGAAGTAGACATTGAAGTAGAGCAGTGCTTACGTGAACTGCTTGCCTGTGAGCCACCTGGAGGAGGGAAGCGGCCATTCCAAGGTAAGCCTTCCGAGGGCAAAACTTGGAGGAGGAAGGCGTCAGTCCTTTTGTGAGCCGCCCAAGAACCAAATTTAGAGGAGGAAGGAGCCACGCCAAGGTAGCGCGCCTGTGGCTCACAGAGGAGGCAGGCGCCAGAGCGGGCAAGGGAGTTATTTTTTGAGCGCGCGAGTGAGGTGTGTGCATTGGCGTCGTCATAATTCAGTAGGCGGCGCGTGCTGCCGAGATCGCTTACTCAAGTCAGCCAGTGAGTTGCAAGCCAACCCCGACAAAGACCGCTGAAAGTTAGAGAAACAAATATCAAGAACGCCAGAAAGCCGACAATGCCGCTCGCGTGTGCGCGCAGAAAGCAACTCGCTTGTACGCGCGCACGTTGGAAGAGTAGGAAGCCTTCACCATAATGGCTGCGCCGGCGCACACTCCCACTTGCATCAAGATCATGTGTCTGCCACGCACGCAGGAGCAGATTGCGCATCTTCAAGGCGTCAGGTCTTCCAGGGCTTCTGGTTTTCCCAGGGTTACACCGGACATTATATCGGGTCGAAGAGGCTTGAAGACGTATTTTGCGCCCCGAAAGCTTCCTACATCCTTTGTTATCATAGAGACTTATGATGACCGTGCGTGGAAAAAGATCAGAATTCCTGCTCAGGTCGCTGAGCCATTCCCATGTAAATATACCTTTTGTGAGCTTCCCGAGAACGAGCGACAAATTCAGCGGAGGAAGCAGCAAGTCCAGTGTAGCATAGTATCTTCTGTGAGGAACCCGATGCTACTACTGCTCCCACAACACGGCTACGACTACCACGACTACTACTACTACTACTGCTGCTGCCGCTGCTGCTACTACTACTGCTACCACCTACTACCTACTACCTACTACCTCCTACCTGTTACCTACTACCTACTACCTACTACCTAGTACCTACTACTACTACTACTACTACTGCTACTACTACCACTACTACTACGACGACGACGACAACGACGACGACGGTCACTACTACTGTTGCCACTGCACACATTACTGTTCTTTCTTTGTTGATTCTTGTTTGTTTTGTTTTTGATCCTCGTCTGTCAATTGTTTTTGTTATTACGTCACCAGATTTTGTTTTTTTGTTGATCCTTATTAATTTTTCTTTTGATCTCATTGCTTTATTACTATTTTGATCCTTATTTATTTTTTTTGATCCTCCACCCGTCAGAACATGGGAGGGACAGGGAGATAGGTTGCAAAAGACTATCCCATGATATCTTCAATAGGACCGGGAACCTTTCCTTGTTTAGATTGCATTGGCACATGCTACAGCACGTGCTGCAATGTGTGTATAAGCGTGTGTCAAAAACTCTTTCCCAACACACTTCCAAGCTTCCCACTGAGGCCCAGCACGACTCCAAAGGCTTTTCTTCCAACGTGGTTTGGAGCCTTGCCGAGCACACTAGTTTGGGCTAGGGGGCCGTCGCAACGATGGGCCACGTTGCATCTGCCATCGTTGCTTGTAGAGGCCATGAGAGAAGAACAAACACATACAAACCCTCACGATTTGAGGTCCTGAGGAAACACATGGAAACATGACATCAAAGATTGCCCCTGCTTTCTTCTCACCAAGTGTTGATCCCAGCTCATTGAGGACGACGTACATTTGCAACACCAGAGGAGGCTCTTGGCCTGCAAAACAGCATCCCAACAGGAACACACCCGGTGGGGCAGTGTACCCACACAAGCAGGTATTTTTTAGTCAGTCAGATCAGCCAGAAATCAAAGCTCTTCAAAGAGCGGGGTTCGTTACTTGGGTCACGGGTCGTTTGTGGTTGCTAGAAACCGCCAGATCACTTGCTGCTCATTGAAGCTCGACCCTTGGTGATTCATACTCCCGCAATTTTTTGTTTCGACTCTCCCTGCCAGTTGCCCAACAGAATGACACCCAATCAAGTGCCCGTCCAGTTGAGATACCACCTCCCACAATAAGACTAGTTCACCAAAATTAATCAGTGCCTTGAGAGATCAAATGTACGCACTGAAGCGATGAGGCTGGTTTATGAAAAGGCGCAAGATCATACAAGAGAAAACATTCTTGTGAAGTCCTTTTTGGAGATGGTGATGGTCAGGGACCCTCACATTCGAGAGCTGTCCTGCCCTCTCGAGGTATTTCAAGAATTGCAAGGCGATGAACTCCATGCAGGGCTCAGTGGAGATTCTCTCCCGGGACGCCTTCTATTACTTCACAGGGAAGAAGGTCCAGTGCCCTTTGGCAGCTTGAAGTTGTGAGAACACCGGGAAGACAATAGGCAGGGAAGTCCTCACAGTCCTCATGCCTGAACGTTGCAACAATTATATGTATATTTGTGTTTGGCTTCCATCGTGCAACTGATGCAAAATGAGCAATTGCAGTTCAAAGGAGCTCTGTCATTCTTTTTTTGGATGACTAGGCGACGAGGGCGCGAGAGAGCTAACCCCCAGCTAGCACCTTGTGCAAGTAGAACCCAGCTGCCCCAGGACTGGTGACCAAAAAAGTATGGGCCAGTTTAACATACTTCAACTACTATGACGCCAGCGCAACTAAGACCCAGCAAATAAGACCCAACCGCGTCCCAACCGCGTGGCTCCCATCCAAAGTGCACAAACGCACGTTCACGCGACAACATTAAAACACAGCACAATCCAGACCAAAAGTGCTTTGCGAAGGAGAGTGGCTTGACGTGGCTTGACGGAGTTGCCCAAGTCAGTCAGAGAGTCATTGGAAGGAATCATTGTTCTGCCAGCACCATGAGTTGCAAGCTTATTGAGATACCACTAGATGCCTGTGGCCAGCGTGTCAGCTCCAACTCAGGTCAGCAGAAGATGGATTGGTGGCACATGGGTTTGGGCACCTAGAGTCGGAGTGCAGTTCTCCAGAATGTTCGGTCCTTGATTTCTGCCCCATCCCCTTTTGGAGCACAGCGAACTGACACAGAGGCCCACCCAAGGATGTTGGCTTGGACTCAGACCAGAGATGTGCAACTGTTACAACTTACTCGCAGACGTCCAAGGACGTTTATGTCAAGGAAAGGTCAGGTGGACGGTAGACCCGCCCTTGAAAAGAAATTCTACATTATTCAATTCGTTTTATGTTTTGATTGTTGGTTTTGTTTCGCAGTTTCAATCGCCAGGGTTTGCACCTTGGGAAGACAAAAATTCGCAGGTGTCGCCTCGGATGTCCCTTTTGAGGTGAAGACATTTTCACCTTCCATTGCATGCAGCAGCTGGGCGTGCCAGCGCTTGACCTGGACGAGGTGCAGTGGGTCATGACCCACCTGGAGCCCCACCCTCCCAGCAGGTAGGTCAACCGGTCGGTATCCTGATGCCATGACCCACAGCCACATGTCTTGACATGTCTTCCCCTGTGCTTGAATTTCCTCATGGAAGTGGATGGCAAGGCCCAGGTGGAGGACGCCCAAACTGACCAAGCCAAGTGCTCTAGAAGCAGGGGGTGTTCCACTTCCACGATTATTGGAAGGAGGGTATTCATTTCCATTGTAGGGTCTTCAGTGCCTGACGAGAGGGGATAAAAGAGAAGAGAAGAGAAGAGAGAGGAGAGAGGAGAGGGGAAGAGAAGTGCTTGCATGCAGCCAGAAATCCTTTTCAACTGCTGTTTTGGTGGTCGATCAGGGCTCAATCGACTCCTACTGTGCCAAGACAAAAGGCTGTGTCGATCATCCTGAAGGACGTGGCCGGGGGCCTGGCGCCAAATCAAGCGATGTCCTCTCGGGAAGCGAGGGCTTGCGTCGGTTTTGCAAGTTGTGCGTCGCTGATGCAAGAGTTTGGAGTTGTTTGTTTTCTTTTCCTGAGGTTTTGGTTTTGTGTATATATTTATGTTATGATACACCGTGCTTTTGGGGCGCGCTGTGGCGTGGACTGTAAGTAAGCGCGCACATTCAAGAATCAAACCCCCACCGAGCCGGAATTGCGAGGGGAATGTTTTCTGAGCAACTCCGTTGCACGCACTGTGGACCAAGCGGGCGCACGTTGCCCTTCGTGACCTCTCCGGCGACAGGGAGGTCTCTAGGTCCCAGCCGACCCCGTCCGAGATGGAGAACACCCTCCACCGGTGGGGTGAAAGCACATGCCAAGCGGCGGCTCTACTCCAGGACCGAAGGAGTGCACCAATGCCAACGCAGCGGTGTTCCATCCCTTCAAGACACTGGACAAGCCGCATAGCTGAAGAGTCCAAGGATATACTGTAAGTCCAAGGCTGAAGAGCCGAAGACATTTGAAGCGCAGATGAACAATGACTGATGTGTGTCACGCAGGCCATTTGCAGTTCTGTTGCGTTACACTACTAATACTGTACCATACAATGTGCAGTACAAGCCAAGGAAGCGTGCTGTTTCACGCTTTTCTTTGTCGCTGTAATTTGGTTCGGGGAGAGTTCTCGGGAGAGTTTGGGGAGAGTTCCCTGTGTGGAAACCCAATGCGCAGGTCTTCGATGAGAAAAACGCATGGAATCTTGCAGCAGCCTCCAACCTAGTTGCCATGGCCTCCACCCTATCCCTAGTAGTAGTGGGCTCCACCCTAGTAGCGACGGCCTCCAACCTAATAGGGATGGTCCTCCAACCTAGTAGCAATGGCCATTTTATACCCCTCAATCGATCTCAATTGTCAACCACGTGCAGTCTCGGACGGTTGAATGCCAATCCCTTCAGACCACCCAGGTACAAAGACTGCTGGAAGGAAATGCAGGAAGTGGATCAGCGCAGCTGCTCGCTTGGAACGATCGGAATGGACCGGAGCGTTCAGTCCACCGACCGGGTCGCCGGTTTAATCCGGGTCTGTTGGATTCACGGTGGTGCCCAGGGTTTGCTTTGGGGAGGCGGTGGGTTGGCAAGCCGGTCGATGGAATCTATATAGATCAATCTAGCATGTCCACAAGTAGCACGAGTAGAATTGAGTAGAACCCAAGACGTCCATTCATACCCTTTTACCCGTTCTATCCTTTTCTGAATCCATTCTGTATGCACCTGAATTGGTATTCCATCAATACCTGAAACTTGACATTGATGTTTCTTGAAGGCTTTCCTTCGGGCGCTCATTCGCGGCATTTCTTGCGGGTATGACCCCGAGTGTTCCCACCCTATCTCGAACAGCAGATGGAATCGGTTTTCTCTATCCAAGACGACGTAAACATGGAACGCTGGATGTTGAAGACCAGGTGCATCGTTCAATCACCCACCGCCCAAAAGCGTTGACCGATGTCATACCGCCGTGTGACCGCCGTGTTCTTTTCGTCACGTGGGCTCAGGAGTCGAAATTCAGCCGGGACTCCTCTATTGAGGGGCGAGGACCATCTAGAAGTGATTTTTGTGAGGCGGAAAGTTATGGTACAGGATCAAGCCTGCAGTGCACCTGGATGAGGGTTGGCCAGTCGTCCAACGCGGGGGCCCTTTTGGGGGCCTACTGCAGATCTATCACATGAATTGACAGAGCCCACGTGCGAAGACGGCACCCATCCTCACTACAGCTGAGCCGAGCCACGCCAAGCTCAGCTATGTTTTCAATGCTTGAGGTCTGTGCTGAAAGCACAACATCAACGGCCAACGGCGCATTAGTTGCACGTTGAAGTCGTATGGCGGTCATGGGCACCATGACTTCAATTAGGATTGTGTGTGAACAGCACTGAGCGAAAGCAGGGACATGCAAGCAATCGGCATATCCAGCAGGTACCTGGAGATCCTACTTCTGCACCAGCATTTCTATGGGGAGCAGAATTGTGCTGAACCGGTAGCCACGTGTTCAGATTGATTGATTTATACAGTCTTTCATTTTAATTCAGCAGTTCCCTTGAAGTTCCCTGCCCTCCAATCTTGGCCGAACACCAGCCGAAGCATGGCCAGATGAGGGGCTTGAAAGGCAAACATGTGATTCTTGTTCGGCTTCGGCGGTCCTGTTTGGGGATGCGCTTGGGATTGGAAAGGGTTGCGGAACTTTGTGCAATAGCCTTCTCTGAGAATCGCACTGAAAGAACTGACGGAGCTGCGACATAGCACTTTACTTTGCTTGAGACACGGTGTTTAGATTTTTGTCAGCAGTTTCAGTCGATGAACTTGCAAGGATTCCTTGGCTTCAGTGTGGCAACAGAGACAGCGGATTTTTAAATAGCCCGGCGCATATCTCTTCCGTGGGAGCCGGAGGCATACCAGCCGGTGGGAAATGGTGCATTTGCATAGATCGATAAATTCCCTTCGCATTCATGTAAGCCACGATCTAGACCAGCCTGTTGACTCAGTTAATATGTCAGCTTGGCGTTGTGTCTTCAGTGCCACCTGCGATTCCCTTGTACTGGCTTGAAACTGCTTGTCCTAGAATACCGTTAGTGTTACCACTCGTCGTGAAATAGAGTTCCATTGAAGATTTTGGCAGAACTTTAGCTCCATAAACATGTATGGACCCTGTGCAATGCTGCGGCCGCACATGCGCCTGTCATTTCACCAATGGTGCTGTGTGATCTCAGTTCCTTCTTTCAGCTCGCATTTGGAGTGCTGGTTGGTCGTTTGCGGCACAAATTGTCGGGCTTGTCACGGTGAGTGCAGCCAGATTTTTGAGCTAGTGTCACACGATTAGAACTCTTGGGGGGCTCAAGAGTTTTTCTCATATTGCAATGAAGAAAGTGGCCGCAATAGGGGCGACAGATTCTTCTTTCATTAGCCTATACATTATTCATAATTGTATATCTGCAGTTGACTTTATTCACGAATGAAGCATACCGTGTCTTCTAATCAGTCGTTTACGCAAAAGCATGTAGCTTTCAAGTGCATGGGGCGAAAGAGGACCCACATGGACCCACAAGTCAAGATTGGTCAACTTGCAAGTTGCCTCACAGCTGTCATTGACAGTTCACAGCCATGACTTGGCCTACATGGTTCCTTAGTAGTCTCAGAGTGTGCAGGACTATACTGACTATTGAATGGCAATATTGAATGACATAGTTTGGTGGAGGAGGCGCCTGAATTTTGGGGAGAGATTCTTTACCAATCTTTTGGAAGTTCTAGGATGTTATCTAAAGGCCTCTATTTGCGTTGGTTTTCTGAACATCTGAACACATCTCGTTTTCTAGCAAGCCAACGTAGCTTGTGCGGCCGTTTTCTTTCGCTTCTAGGTCGATCTTCCCGGCGCATACGGACAGAGAGCAGCATCACTCATTTTAGTCCAGGATGGCGTGGTATTTTCTTCAATTCGGTTTGTGCGGGTTCCGCGGTACAAACCATGCTGTCTGAATAGCATCACGCCAGGACGCGGACGCCATTCGATCGGTGGGAGGAAACACAATTCCTTGTCATGTGTTTGAACCTGCACATCGTCAGGCCTCATAATAAGGCCAGGTCATCTCATAAGGTTAACGGTTAACTCTTGATTAGTAGCCCATGCGGATTCAAGCATCTCATCTCCCCAACTAAATGTTGACCAACAGTGGAAACATGATGAACCATTACTCAGTACTCGTTTCACAGTCACAAGACTGCAGCTTTTGTTCATTCCAAATGGTTGTCAGCTGGGCAAACGACAACTCCGTGGGTCCTGATTCTGCCAACTCGCGTGGCGTGGGTCCCACAACTCTGTTGGGTGGGTTCTCAGTTTCAGGTTTAGTTGATTTTCATTGTGCGGGCCGCACTCGTTAAGAATGCTGATGTATCTTTTCTTTAAAAAACATTTTGTGAGCTTACTGGCTGTTTGTATTTCAAGTGGTTTTGCAATTTGAGCCAAGACACGGCCGTATGGAAGAAGGAGAAGAAAGAAGAAAAGGAAAAAAAAGCAGCTCACTGCCATTATACTCAACAACCCACACCCTGAGCGCCGTGGAATCATAAGATGAACAATCTTTGAATGTCAGAGGAGCATGCTGCTCAGTTATTTTCCCTCCTTGGCCCTGTCCTAGCCAGCAGCCGGCACACAAAAAGACGTGTAGCTTCTGACGAAACATGACATTATGCCATGCCTGCCAAGTTTTGTCGTATTATTTATCTTGCGTTGAGAGATGAAAAGGGAGCCTCAGATTATCTCAGATTAGCGATCGCCTCGTTCGCGGAAACAGAAGTGTTGCAGGAGAGCAGGGTCCGCACTGGGGTCAGGAATGTGTCAAATATCGAGAGGTCCAGTGAGCAGGAGCGAAGATGACGATGCATCCGAAATGGCCATCTGAGTTTGCAAACAATGAATTTGCATGAGTTCGTGCCCGAGTCATAGCCGCCGTAGCCATAGCTCTTCCAGGATTAATGCCATCAGTTGTCAAGTCATGTTATGTCAACGCTTGTTAAACTAGGTGGCCAGCAAAAGTGATTTGATCAATGCCTTTGTTTGAGAAACCCTGAAGCCGTATCGAATGACCCAGGTTGCAGCCATTTGTTTGTCAATTTTAACCCATGTGTTGATCAATGCTGCCAAGTCATCTCTGAATGGATGGATGGTGCTTCTGACGAAGCTTGACACATCCGATGGGCGATTTCGGATTGGCAGCTTAGCGGCTAGAGTATAGATGCAAATCTATTCTTGAATCTATTCTTGATCAGGTTAAGCAATTGAAACTTGAGTAACCAAAATAGTCCTGTTCACCAACGGTGGTGCACAACCTGTGAGCTTAGATACTTAGCGGTTCACCTGCGCTCGGCAATTGATGTTGTTGGGAGTTTAGCGCGGGCTCGACCACATATTTCCTGGTTCACCAATAGGCTTTGTTGGAAGTTCAGGAATGTCGAGGAGAAGGATTTGGTCTGGATGTTTCAAGCTGTTCGATGCGGGAGTTTTGCCACGAGTAAGCTCACAACTTGTGGCCCAGCATTGTTTCGTGAGTTGCCTGTCAATAGTGTGCCAGCAAAGCCGGTCATCCTCAAGTGTAAAGGAGGCTCAACCATTCCTTGCCAAGGCAGAGGAAGTGCAGCCCTCAGGGAGCGGACGATTTGTTGATGGGGACCTCTGCACCTTGAAACTGTCTTTGTTCTGAATCCCTGCAGGCCCCCTTCCGCGCATTGATTCACCAAGGGGCATATTTCCAATTGATGGTTCATGATGATAGCACTGTTTCATTGGGTTACCTTCACAAAAGAGGATTTGTTGGTCTATGAGTCTATGAGTACTTGCTGAGCTTCGGTCTGATGGGGGGAAGCTCCCAGGATGCAGCTCTTGAAGCACTTTGTGGCAGCATAGGCTTGGACCTCTTGCAGCGAGAGGCCTGAAACGGGCTGTGGTTGTGAAGGCAAAGCAGGTTGCATAGCAGCTACACCGCCAAATGGACATGGGATGCTGTAGCGCCCAAAGATAGAACAGATGGAACCATGTATCTCAAAAAGCGTTCTATTTGTTTGGGACTCTGTGGGGCCACTATGGACTTTAGATGAGACGATTGTCAGCTGCAGGTCCAATCAAGTCATTCCGCAATGATGGACATGCGAAGCTATCACACACTGGCAGCTGGCATGAGGATGAAACTGACCCAGCACCTGACATGATTCTTGGACGGCTTACCAAGTGTACCAGCAATACTTGTACAGGATTGTTCTTGAGGAAAACCTGGATTTGGGAGGCAGAAACCGGTTCTATGTTGATCCACTGGGATTGAACTCGCAAGAGCTAAAGAAACACATGCAGGAACAGACATTGAACAAAAGGTCACAAACTTGTTTAGGAACCACCAGAGGCTCTTTTAAGGTTCTATTGTTGGTCCTATCCGTTTCAGTGTTTTTGTTTGTGTTCTCTGTTTGTTTCTGTTTTTTTCCTGATTTTGTTGAGGATTCTGCAAGATTAGCAGTATTTGAAGGGTTAGCTGCCTCTAAGCCCAATAGGAAAAAGTAGGGCAAACCATAGGGTCAAATAGGGCATAAATATGGCCTCTCTCGCTCTTGCTCGCTCTTTCCCATTCATTGAGCTGATCTTCCCTTTTTTTTCCTACTGTTCATCGGGAAGCTTAGCCAGCACAACATTCCATGAACTTGTGATTTCTGGCGACTCCGATCGATTTTCCCTAGCTTCCAGTCCAACGGTGGGTAGGGTGAATATTTTTGAGTATTTTGCAATTATGACAAAGCTGGATTCGTTCGCTATCATGCATGGTTCTGTCATTTCATTTGTATCCTAGAAGATGCAAACAACGATGAGGGCAGGGCTTGGCGACCATGTTTAATAAATAGATATAAACAAACACACACAAATATAGACATATATAATATATATACATAATTACAACCACACACACACATATATATATATAAGTATATATATATATATGTTTGTACATATCATATCGCCATTGTATATTATATACAGTTGATATGTAATAGTCATAGGTCTTGCTTTGGTTGAGATTTGTGAGACGTTGAACTTCCCTCACTTCATCCCATCCTTTGCCGTTGTAGCCACCCGCAGGGATCGGACGCTGAAAAGCGAGCCGGGGTCCTTGAGCCACGTCGCCTTCACAGCACGGTGAAGCTGATGCCAAGCATGCCGGACGACAGGTCTGGGGGACGTTTCTTTTTGGGGTCACCCGTTCGACTGGGAGGGTGCCACATAGCTCACGGCAGTGCTCCACGATATGTCTTGTGTTTCGGTGGCGCCGCCATTTCTGAAAGCCTTTGGTGAACAGTCGTGGGAGAGTGTTGCCGACATCTTTCAGGCTTTAGGACTCATGAGAGGCGAACGACAAGAAAGATCAAAGAAGGATGACTCCAACCCGCCGCCATGGCCACAGTCAAGGAAAGATCTAGAGGTAATGGATTCAGGACACCTTGGTAGGCTTTTGTCAGCGGCACTTGTCTCGCAGAGATTCGACAGAATCGCCTGGTGCCACGGAGGTGTATTTGTTTGGCATGGGATTCTGACCTGGAAGGTTGTCATTCGAGACACATTGTTTAGAGTAGGTGAGTAGGATTGTGACAAAATTGGGCTTCGCAAGGTCTTTTTGGTGGTCAAGTAAGATCCATCAACGTATTTAAAGATTCCTGGTCGTGCCAGGAGGCATCAGTGCACGAAATGTCACGGTGAAGACACAAGCACAGTCTGCCGGCAACGCTTTTAAAGACGTCCACCAATAGATGGAAACGGTTTCCAACACACTTGCACAGGGAAAGTATTTGTTCCATCTACTCGGGGTCGCTACACGTTCCTGCCTGTTTGATCATGCGTCTGCCATGGCTACTCGTCGTTTGCGGAGAAGTGTGGGTTGCAGGCTCGGTGGGAAAGGTTTGCATGGGAAGATGATGGAAGATTGTATTTAGAAAATCCCATTGAACAGTGCTGAAAGGCCTTTGGGTGGAGGTTGCATTTGTGTTGATCTCTTCCTGAAATGATCAGGAGCCAAACCAGATGCTTCCCACATGGCGGCTTGGATGAAGAACCGCAACGCGAGATATATGGAAGGGCTGCTCTGGGATTGAACGATGCTTTGTGTAGCAGAAAGCCCTAGTATCTGTAGTGTAGACATTCTTGATGGCAAAGGGTGGACCAAGTCACAGTAATAGTGCTGAAGAAAGTGTCCATTCCATGACTGCCACCTGTCTAGCCCTCCGGAAGGGTTTCTAGCAGAAACAGAAGTACTACTAAAGTACTATCCTTGACATGCACCACTCAGTCTGAACACGAGGCGGACATTGCCACACGCTCAATGTGTCCTCTTTGAAACGCCGACTGCCCTGAGCCCTCACGGTTTGGAACTTGCGTGGAAAGATTCAAATCTTCACTTCATTTCCACAAAGGGTGAACTGAAGAGTCAACCCTTGCGAACTGCCCAAGAGTTCAATTTCACCTGCCTTTGAGGACACCCTCTACTTTGTGCATGCAGGTCGGCTCCAACCGTTGCCTTGCGTGCTGATGTGGTCCGAACCTACCATGAATTTGCACGTCCTTTTGAAGCGGGCGGGCAACGTTCTGGGTCAGATTTGAATTTGCGTAACATCACAACCCCAAACCCAAACAATTGATTGGGACGGATTGAGAGCAATATGCTTTTGTCCCGATTCATGGTCATGTTCAGCGAAGGCGAAGGAGCAACCATGCAAGCCACAGCAGGGGTGAAGAAAACCTGTGGCCTATGACATGGGTTTGTGCTCACTCAACCCCACAGACTGGAGGATGCCTTGTTGTGTGCCTTGTTGTTGTCGCACGCGTTTGCGCCCCATCTATCGCCAGGGCCGGCTGATCAGATGAAGGCTATGACCCTTCAGGTGCTTGGCTGGGAAAGACTGGCAATTTGCAGTGAATGTGCAGAACTTCAGCTTCTTCCTTGTCCAGATAGAAGCCAGCACAAAAAGGCACACAGGATAGCGACGGAGCAGCTGACATGGATGTGAACATCCCATTCATTGCTTATGGATGTTGCACCACATGTTTTGACATGTTGATAGTCGACATAGCTCAGGATCTTCTTGGAGATGACACCAAGGGCAGTGCAAAGGCTCACGACTGGTGGACTCACATGGTTCTGCCAGACATCTCACCAATTGAACTCCACCAAACATAAAGGGCATCTCGGCAAGTTGTAACTTTACTTTGCCTGCAGAGAATCGCGGAAAACAAATCATTATTCACTTGGCAGTTCACTGGCAACATTGCTTCCATTCATGGTGCTTATTGGGAAGAGCTTGTTGCTCATTCCCGAAAGCATTGCGAAGGGTTCTTCCGGAAAATCCCTTGAACACTGACACTTCGACACTCACACTTACGCACTGACACTTCCACCACACTTGTACTACAACATGAACGCTATACGTACCCCAGTGTAAGTGGAAGAGCGAAAGCATCCAAGTGCAAAGTATGCAAGTGTCAAAGTATGCACGTGTAAGTATGTAAGTATGTAAGTGTAATGATGCAAGTGCAATGATGAGTATGCAAGCATGCAATGAGTATGCAAGCATGCAATGAGTAGGCAAAGCATGTGAAAGCATGTCATGAGTATGCAAGCATGCAATGAGTAGGCAAGTGTGAGCATGGAAAACTAGCACGGGAGATGTCCCAATGAAAAAACATTTCCCCACTTTATAAATTCTCTCTTAAAGGCGGAGGGTGAGACGAACAGCGTCAACCGAAAATGCAACCCTCTGCGGAGATCGTGCGTGTCGAGTGCGCGAAATGCAGGCGAGAGTGCGATGCGCTGGCTGCGCACGCAACCCTCTGCGGAGATCGTGCGTGTCGAGTGCGCGAAAGGCAGGCGAGAGTGCGATGCGCCGGGTGTTTGCGCAACTCTCTGCGGAGATCGTGCGTGTCGAGTGCGCGAAATGCAGGCGAGAGT